CCCGACATACCTATGGGCTCGTTCTCGGGTATAAGCCATTCGCGTTTAAAATCAAAAACTGGTGGACTGTTGTGACCAAAGCCAGGAAATGCTAATCCTTTTGACAAATAAATTTAAATTAAATTCACGTGATGTGAGTGACCACAAGATGTGTGGTTAGGGATGTGCTGCTGTGTTGGCAGTAGTGATGTTTGTGTCAACTCTTACCAGAAGTTGTTGTGCACAACAGGAGTGTAAGCGTGAACCACGACATCACACCATTCAATATCATTGTTCGCCCGATTATAACATACAGTAGTTCTCTTCACTCATACACACATTGCCTGAACGCACAAAACTTTTTGCTAACAACACATAACTTATTATATATTGTTTTAGAACTTTGTTAACCACTAACTTATATAAACTTTATAACACAATTATGAATACTATATATTACCAATCAATAGATTTGTGCTAATATTAGTGGCAAAACATTTGATTGAATAGTTGTGTTGAGTAACGAAAGAACCAAAACACAAGGCATTGAAACAACTAAAACACTGGTCTCTGTCTTATGGGTAGAGAGGAATCAGAAGCAAATCCTTATCAGAAAAAGCTGAGCACAAAAAATGTCGGCTCAGGAGTTGTCAGACAACTTATTCGCTGAACTTTTGTAAAGAGGGCAACATTTAAGGGCCAAACCCCACATACCGTATATACAGATATACTTTAAGTGTATATAAGTGTTCGCAATAGTGATGGGCGAAGAAAAATAGGGTCATCTTCTTAGAGATGAAACACCGGAGTCGTTACACTTGAGCGCCGATTGTAAACGCATCGCAAAACTCAACTCTCCAACAAAAAAATGCCAAAACTGTAGATCGGGTTTGAAAACTAGTTTTTTGTTTTGAGATAACATTTGGATCGAACTCTTCAAACATATAAATCAATTGAATGCAGATTTGGTTTACAGGCGAGAGAGAGAGAGAGAGAGAGAGAGAGAAGTGAATCTTTTGTCAAGTCATTGGACCTCAGTTTTGAGACTGGGTTTAATACTTATTATCATATTTGAGACCCAAATAAGACAAACATGAAATTCAAATGCGATCTATTTATACGGTTTTACAGATAAAACTGTTTTCTTGGAATTTCCATTGAAATCGCAATTTGAGTCCAACTCATAGCTGTGCCAACAATTCACACATCATTTGTTACTATAAATTGAGTCCAAAATACTGTATACCTTATTGAATACAATTGAATTGACGCTTAAGAATAACAATAATAAATCATTTAATTTGATATTAAGTCTATAGAAAAACAATTTATACTTTTTTGTGCAAAAGTCTTTCGTTATTATTAATAATTTCTTTAATAAAATTTGTTTTCAAAACTACGAAAAATTATATACAAATTAAAACAATTCAATAAAACAAAATTCTTCGGGACTTAATTGAATGATAAATAACTTATTATACAATTTTGTTACCACAAGACGTACTGTTGAGATATCTTATGCAAGTGATCACACGATGGAGTCTTCAAGCCTTTAGCTCTGTCTTCGAGGTCTTTATCCCTAAAATTTCTGGCCCTCCATATCATACTCTCCTCTATTCAAACCAAAAACAGACAATTTGTGAGAAAAACATTTCCATACATTAAATAAGTGTCAATTCATACTATAGTTTCGTTCCCTAAAACAAGAGGCCCTTAAGTTGGAGACGTAATCCTCTTCCACCTGTTGCTCAATACGACGAATGGATCCCTTATTCTCGCGCTCGAAGTTCTCCTTCACAAAGTAGGGGACCTCTAGATTAGACGTCTTCCTCTCGTATTCGTATTTCCTTTCAAATACCATTATATCAATCAATGTGTCATTACATCTAACAATACTGTTTAGCAAATCTATGACATTTGCCACATTTGCTTCCAATGCATAATCGTATCATTCAATCAGATATACTGTAATGTGATTCATATGTTTAATCTAAACATTGAATGATAAATGTTATAAAAACGGTCTAAATATTACCGATTTATAACATTTATCATTAAATGATAAAATAATTTATACTGAAATCTATTAACTTTAAGATTAAAATATTACAAATATTAATGTAATTTAACACAACTTATAAGTTATAACCCCTTATTACCTTGAATTGTGATTCAAAAGATTTTTAATTCAGTCGTTAGACAATATTGAATGACACGATTAGATGGTAATGAATGGCAAACGGATTGTGTAAACACTTACTGCGTTCGACTCAAGCTATACGTCGGGTCGGAGACGAAGAATGTACTCATGAGTGATAGGCAGAGGAGTACTAAGACGGGCATCATTTGTAACAATACGTTATAACCTGAGGCCACCTCTTGGTTTTGGTTGTGATGCCGGTGTGTCTCGCGATACCGATTGGGTCGCCGCACGTATACATTGCCCGACGGAAAGCCGCCGCCGAAAAACATGTTAAAAATCTCGTCGGCGTTGATATCGCCGTCAAAACCCCGGTTGTAATCGTAATAACCGTTTTCGTAGTATTGGGTTTGAGACCTCTTTCTCTGTTGCTCTTCAGAGCCGTACAAATCGTATTGCTTTCGCTTCTCGGCGTCGCTCAACACCGCGAACGCCGTACCGATCATTTTGAACGCCTCGGCAGCGCCCGGAGCCTTGTTTTTGTCGGGATGAAACTGTAGGGCGAGCTTTCGGTACTGTCTCTTCACATCCGAATCCGTCGCCTCTTTATTCACGCCTAATATCTCGTAATAATCCTTACACTTCTTCACCTGCTGTACGGCAGACAACTGTTCGCTCGTATACTCCCGGTGTGGAGACGACGACGTGGGCTGACTATAACCCGCGTTTGAGTTACTGTTTAGATTAGATTTGTCACCGTTTCGGCCAAAACTGTTAGATCGAGACCGAGATCGCGGTCCCGACGGCTCGCCCGGCGTCGACTCCGG